CTCAAGCAGTTAACTCAGTAAGAAATCCTACCTCAAGCAGTTAACTCAGTAAGAAATCCTACCTCAAGCAGTTAACTCCCCAAAGTGGGCCTGGTTCCATTTAGTAAATCAAAAGGTAAAGCTTGAGATTCAAACTCTGCCAAGCCTGGTTAAGACTCACCAAGACTAGGCTTCCTCTAGACCAGTGGTTCTCAACCTTCCTAATGCCGTGACACTTCCACACAGTTCCTCATGTTGTGGTGACCCCCAACCATAAAATTGTTTTCGTTGCTATCATTTTGCTACTGGTATAAATAGGGTGACCCTGTGAAAGGGTCATTTGATCCCCAAAGGGGCTGCAACCCACAGGTTGAGAACAGCTGGTCTGAGGGATGGTAGGGAGGATGGGAAGCTACACAGTGAGGAAGAGGAAAAAACATTCTGAGGTTGATTTTTGAGATGATTGTACAAATCTTCTTAATATGACTGAATCATTAAATTGTATGATGCGTGAAAGAGTTCAGAAGGCAGGGTGCTATAGGAAAGATGCAAGGTGAATCAATACAGGGAAATGCAAAGTGTTACATTATGGAGATTGTAACCAACGTCACAAATGACAGTGGCGAACTGTTAGCTGGAAAACCAAGTACTTTAATCTGTAAGCTTTTACTAAAAGTCCTAACACATTTTTTAAAAGCGGCAAGGTTTAAAGAGGCGCTAGTAACATTGATCAGCACTACTATGTGCCACATAGAAATATTTGGCAAAAATGATTTTTTATAATGTTGTAGAGCATTGCTTGCTTTGTAAAAAACAGTTTTATTGAGATACAATTCATATATCATAGAATTCACTTTTTTCCCAATGTAGTTTTTTTAAAAAAATCATTTTATTTGGGGCTTGTACAACTCTTATCACAATCTATACATACATCCATTGTGTCAAGCACATTTGTATATCTGTTGCCCCATGATTCTCAAAACATTTGCCTTCTACTTGAGCCCTTGGTATATCAGTCCTCATTTTCCCCCTCACAGTCTAAGATATGACAAAATAATACGAATTTATAAATTATCAAGGGTTCATGGGGGGGAGCAGGGAGGGAGGGGAAAAAGAATTCACTTTTAAGGTGTAAAATTTCATGGTTTTGAGTACAGCCATGCATCTATGCGACTCTCATTACTACCTAATTTTTGAACATTTCCAGCCTTGCATACTTGTTCCCATGAGCCATCATTCTCTGGGGCCACATGGCCCCCACGTCCTGATAATCCCTCCTGCAGGTTCAGGGGATGGCCTTGCTGGGGATGACTGCCTCCTCTCACTGAGCCTTGTAGCAATGCCTTATAGTACCTAAGAGCTGGTAAAACAATCTTCTTCCCATTTCTAGGCTTACCCAAGATGCATTTGTGCCCCAGGGCAAGGGAGGAAACAGGTCCTCTACCCTCCCCACTGGCTCCCACGTGGCTTAGCCAGGCACTACTTTTGAGACACTGAGTTCTGTGGACGCAAACCCAATCGACGACCACAGCACACAGGAAGTACCGCTGTGTGTTCTCTCAGACAACAGGCCATTCTGTATCCTGGCCCAGCATGTAGTTTAGAAAGCAGCTAAACTAAGAACACAAGAAACAATGAACAGAACCAGCCTTTTAGTTCCGTGAGGAGACATCAGAGCCACTCACCAGGCAGCTGAAGGGTGAAGCCTGCTGGCACTACGTGCCTCGAACACAACCTGCTCAGAGCTCAGCGGCCAGCTCGGGATCCGAGCTGCTGAACAGGCTGACTCGGCCTAGGAGTCAGAACTGCCCTCTTCACCTGCTCAGGTTTCGTGGCCCATTTACCTTCTTGCCCCCAATGTAGCCTCCGGAAGCACCAAAGCTCTTCGTGAATGTCCCCATCATGACGTCCACTTCTTCCGGGTCCAGGCCAAAGTAGTCCACCACGCCCCGGCCTCTGGGGCCCAGGGCCCCAATGCTGTGCGCTTCGTCTAGATACAAGTACGCTTTGTATTTCTTCTTCAGGGCAATCACTTCGGGGAGGCGAACAATAGACCCCTCCATGCTGGCAAAAGAGGATAAATGAAAACATACGGAGACTCTTACTCACTCTCAAGAACAAAAGCACAGACACACACACACACACACACACACACACACCTCCCCCAAACTTTTCAAAGCTTATTGCCTTTTAAAGGGTCTGACAATGCTACGTGGGATTTTAAATCAGCCAAGTCAGATGATGCTGACGACCAGACAGACATCTGGGGGGGTCGGGGGGGGGGGTCTTCTAAAACACGCAGCAGAACACAACCGGTCTGATTCACACAGCAGAAGGAAGGGTGCAGCAGACTCTTCCAAGGCTCGTCATGGACACCATTAAACTCTGCATCACACTGAACATACACCTACAATTACACAAAGGGACATCAAGAGCCTTAAGGAGATGAGACAGTAGTGGAAAGGCAGCAAATCACTATTTGAAATAAAACACCTCCCATCATTAAAATGAGGTGGAATGTGTCGTGACTACTCTTGGTCCCATGTCAGCAGTTCCTCTATGAACAGCGGGCCAAGAGGAAGTCCCCAGGAGCAGGGACGTGGAGGCAGTACAGTGAGGGGCGGGGAAGAAAGCAGAGCTGGATGAAGAAGCCCACTGTGCGTGCGGCTCTGCTTGCAGCTGTGCAATGAGCCATAAACACTATCTTCTGTTTCCAGAGGGAGTAGCCTAGAGGTCCCTCCAGCTTAAAAACTCCGAGACTCCATGGAGCCAGGTCGCACGGATAAGAAAATAAAGCAGGATTACCTATATATTCCTTCTACGAGGATGAGAATTTTCTTCCAGGGCCTCCTCGTCCGAGGCTGGCCATACACGATGGCATCTTTCAGCAGCTTCTCTAGGCTCTGCATATCTACAGCACGCAAAACAGGAGTTTAGCACAAACCATCTTCCTCCATCCTAATACCATTCCAAAACGTAGATACACGGTTCTTAATCAGGAAATGTGTCTCAGAGAACAAAGGGCATGAACATACATTGAGTAGAACAGATAAAGGAGAAAAATGGGTGAAGCACATCTACAATGTTACACACGCTCAAAACCATAGGCACTCGACTAGATCCTTTTGGTGAGCATGCTACGAAACGGCCAAGGTTTCCTGCTAAGCCACACGGCCAAACTGTGTGTGTGTCTACAAGCTCAAACTGCACCTCTCACCCCAGTGAGTCATTCAGACAGGAACGTACAAAGAAGACTGGGCGAAGAGAGTGAGCCGGTACGATCACATTGACCTCCTAAACAGCAAACATGGGCTTAAAGGCTGCAGTACAGCTACCTCTCCGGACAAAGGGTGCTCAGGGGCATTGTTTTGTTGTTTTTTTCCCCTAAAAAAGCAGGTTACATAACAATGTGGACACAAATCAAAATCCCACAGGACCTTTCTCATCATAAACAACTTTCGACAAGACAAAGACAGAAAGGATGTAATCACCCTCTATGATCCAGAGGTACAGTGTGTATTCCACACTTCTACCTGTACATGTGCACGGTCAGCAAAAAGAGGATTCTGAGCATCTTGTTGGGTAAGCCTTTCTCTTGACCTGTGAGTGGTTTTTAACTATGCAACTTGGGAATTTTCACTGCAAGTGATTATATTATTTTCATTATTATTAGTGCACAAAGAGGCCTCCATATGGGAGAAAGGGATGGGGCTTAGTGTCACCCTTCCCTCTGCTTTTGTGCCACCTACTCATCCCTGTATTTCAGAGTCTACACAATGCACTATGTATCTATGTCTCTTCACTAGCCAGTCACAACCCCGATGATCATAGACTGAGCAAGCAAACATGGGAAAGGCTGAAAAAATGGAAGATCAAATCAAAGGAATACAGTACCATCTATATCAAAAGGTACCATTCCTTCAGAGCCTACATTTACTCTGAGGAAAAGAATAGCTCTTAAAAACTTGGACCAAAAGGAGATTTCCAATGTTGCTTCCTGAGCTTCATTTGCATTTTCTATTATTAATTAATGTTACCAACTCCCCTGACCATAAGAAGATGGATTGCATGACTGGCATTGACCCCCCACAACAAACTCACTGTTATGTTTGAAGACTCGAATGGTTGCTCCGGATAGTCTTGCTCCTAGAACGAGCGATGCGTGGTTCAGTTCATCACTGAGAATCAGGCAGCCCTGCAACACCAAACCCAGTGAGTTAACCCGGAAGAGAGGCTGAGTGGTCCAAATCACAAAACACCCAACTAGCCAGCAACACAAAGCCAACCCCACTGCTATCTCAATTTATACTGAGAGTGACCCGCAGGACAGAGGAGAAGTGCCCGTCAGGTTTCCAAGCTGGAAACCTCTATGGAGGCAGACTGCCACCTCTCTCTCCCATGGAGCCGCTGGGGGGTTCAAGCTGCTGGCCTTTCGGTTAGCAGCCTCCTGCTCTAACTACTACACCACCCAGGCGCCTACCAACACTAATGTCTGTACCAATTATATCCTGTTAAGGAACTCTTAGACAACAGTTAAGCCATTAATTTTAAGAGGGGTAAAAGAGTGGGGTACATGGCATATACTGCCAAAAGAATAAACACATTTGTCTTAGACGCACAGCCAGAATACTCCTTAGATACAAGGATGGGGAGACTGTGTCTCACATATTTTGGACATGTTAGCAGGAGAGGCCAGTTCCTGGAAAGGAATATCACACTCAGCGAAGTATACGGGCGGGGAGAAAGAGGACGGCCCTGGACAAGATGAACTGACTGACACGGTGGCTGCAGCGACGGGCACAGGCATAAGGACACTTGTGAGGCTGGTGCAGGACCAGACCGTGTTTCCTTCTGATGTGCACCGGGTTGCCATAAGACAGAACTGACTCACTGGCACCGCATGACAATAACATGATATAGCATGTGTGTGATGTCTCGTTACTTTTCTTCGAAGAATACCTTAGAAGAAGATCAAAATTTCTAACCTTTTAATTTCATTTCTTCAGTGCGGTGAATGACTAGTATTCTGACACACAGTTATGGGCTTTACCTCTCGTTGGCTAGTGTGCATAGGGTCTCGGCTTGATCTGAGGACTTGGCTGCATGGGGTGGGCTGTGTGCTGTGCCTGTGGAGGTCCCCGGACGGGGCCTGTGGTTGAGGGAGAGATCCCTGTGGAGACAGGACCTCCTGCCCTCCTCATCAATCTGTGATGATTCAGGGATGAGTCAACTCACTGCTCTTTCTGCCAGATGACATAGGGTGTAAGCCTAAATCTTGCCATTAAAGTTCCGTAACAAGTGTGATCCTTGTTAGGTGCCCATGACTCAATTCTGGCTCGCGGTGACCCTGAGCATGCTGGGTCAAATTGCTCCATACGCTTTCCAGGCTGTGTCCTGGCTGGAGCAGATGCCTAGCCTGTCTTCCCAGGCACCTCCGGGTGGGCTCAGAACGCCGCCTCTTTGGCCAATAGTCAGCCCGTCAGCCTTGTGCCCCACGGACCCAGGAACAAGCTCTATTCTATGTGTGTGAGGGAGCTACAAAGAGTTCATGGGAAAGTTCAGTTAGCTCTGAATTCCATTTCTCCACAAATGCTGTGAAGCTCCTTTCTAAATTGGGTTTTCACTAAGGCAACAGAAGTCTGAGCACCTCTTAAAAAAATTCTTCAATAATAATAATTTGTAATGTATCAAGAGGTCCCGGGGGGTGGTGGTGTAAAAAGAGGAGCTGATACCAAGGACTCAAAGAGAATGTAAATGCTTAGAAAATGATGGCAACAGATGTACAAATATGCTTGATACAAGTGATGTATGGATTGTTATGAGTTATTTAAGAGCCCCCAATATAATGATCTTAAAAAAAAAAATTCTTCTCCAGTCCCATGTCTCATGAGGTTCTTAAAATCTTAACTCAGAGAAAAAGTTTTTCCCTTTGTAAAAAAATAGGCTCCCTTATAGCAAGGTTCACTGTTACTCTACCTGGGATTGGTTTACAATAAGGCAGTAGGTTCTCAACCTTCCCAATGCCGTGACCCTTTCAGACAGTCCCTTATATTGTAGTGAACCCCTCAACCATAAAATCATTTTCATTGCTACTTCATAACTGCAATTTTGATACTGTTATGAGTCATAATGTAAATATCTGATATTTACCTTTTCATTGTTACAATTGAACATAATTAAAGCATAGTGTGTTGGTTCCTAAGACCTTCGGAAATATGTGCTTTCTGACGGCTTTAGGCGGCCCCTGTAGAAGGGTCGTTTGACCCCCACAGGGGTCGAGACTCACAGGTTGAGAACCGCTGCTATAAGGGATTTCATGGAAAGTAGCTGACGGCCACCCTGCCCTCACATCACCTTTGGCTGCAGGAAGCGCAGAGGCTAGTCTGCTACTCTGAGTTGCCCATCTGCTCCCTTCCTCCCCAGAACAGCAGGAGGATTAACCCCAGGGACCTAGACAACTGGTGCTCAACAACTCTGGACCAGAAGGCCTTGTAAAATGGCGCCTCGTCTCTCTCCGGATCAGCTGCTCAAGATCTGCGGATCCATGCCAACTTTCAACTGGTTACAACAACTGCGTGGTAAGTCACCACTCAGGGGGTCAACGCAGTTCTGGGCCTCAGTGTACCTTACCATTTGACTGACATGCTCATCTCCCCATTTCAAGATGTTCCAATTCCTTCTTGGAATCATTCAAAGACTCATTCCATACCTCTCCCCAAGAGTATTAGCACAACAAAAGGCAACACAGTTATCGAGATGTTAACATACAGGAGGCAGGGCACATGGAACAAGGCGACTCGTTTTTTTATAAGAGGTCCCGGAAGTGCTTCACCAGCAGAGCAAGGTCGGTGAGTCATAGAATTGGTTTGTGGCTGCTCGTTGAGTCAAGGCATTGCTGCAGGGGGCTGTGTGTCTAGGTCAATGGCCCGTAACTTTAGTTTACTTTTTGCCACAGACACAGAAAAACTGATGCCTGTTGCAGCCTTAGGCACACAGACAAACATTTTCAGACAATGGGGAGGGGGGGGGGGTGTTCACAAATTGACAAGTTGATCTGAAAGTTGGAAGATTAAAATGTGGTCGCTCACATGCACTGCTGGGGCATAATGCAGGGGCACTGCCTTTCCAGAGGGCAGACGGGCAAGGCTGCGCCGCACACACATTCCAGCTCGAAAGGTTTAGGTGGTTGACCTGACAGAGGCACAAGGGTGTACACAGACACACATTCAAAGTTGCTCAAAGCAGAAAGGCATGCAGATTCTGCCACCATTTAGGTAGATGCTTAGACGCAGGTAGACCAGCTCAGGTGAGATTCTCTAGGAACTGGTGACCCCTGCTACCTCTGAGGAGGGCAACTGAGTGGCTAGAACCGGCGGAGTGAGGTAGGAAGACTTCTCACTCCCTCAGCCTGGATTAAGTGACAGCCAAATTTACATGGACAATTGTCTTTCTTGTTGTCAGTCTTCTCAAAATGGACTCACATTTCTATCAATAAACATTCTGTATATCGTCAGATCCCCAACTCCCCAGCCCACCCCCCACAGACACTGACTGGCTCCATTCTCATCTACTGCTTTGAAGATGCCTGCACTGAGTCACTGCTCCACACACACCCCTTTCAGGCTCTTGTGAAACTCCTGAGATTGTGTCCGACAAATGAAAAGGCCAACCTCTGCTGGAAAGGCCTCTCTAAGCCACACCCTGGATCACAAAGCGTAATCATCTCTGGCAAACTCCCTCTCCCCGATCTGATGCTGGAACATTAAGACTTTGCTTTTTAAAGACCTGGCTACTTAAACTCATTAAAGAAACAAGACCCAATGGTCTATGAAAATTTTAACGTATGAAAAAGAACGAAGGTAATACACTGAGACACAATCAACACATAAAAATCCACAAGGTCAGAAGCTCAAAGGGGACAGACTCTCACTGGTCACAAGTGGAGGTTGCTAGAGCCCTTGCAGCATCGCAAAATTTGATCAACAAAAGGAAACAATCAAGCACCTGTCTACCTTTCTAGTTCAAACTAATCTGTGTTACCCAAGAGTTGATTTTAACAAAATTCTTCCTTTTGGAAGAACTTTAGCTAAGAAATTCAGAAGAAATGAAGAATCAGAAGCTCACTGTTTTGTAAGAAAAATATATCAATGACTGCTAAAATCATGGCGTGAAAGACTGTCAGGTACTTCATAATGGGCTGAACCCACTGATCCATATTCATGTTACAAGGAAAGAGAAAAAACAATCGAATGACTCTAGTTGTAATACAACAGAAAATACACAGTACTTGACAGAAAACCTAAACATGAAGCCTCAAGACGGCATGCAGCCGAAGAAGTCTCGATCGACCAGACTACCACCGGAATACCAAGAACAGAAGAACATCAGAAGGATGCAATATGGCAGAAACCAAAATGTGTAGACATTCCATTAGGACACATAGCCAGGTGGTTTAACAATGACTTGGCATGAATGTAAACAAACCAAGCCGGGGGTCATACTGCTACAGTTAGAGCCTGAACAGTCACATCAACCACCTGCAGCATGCAGGCCTTCCCAGGAGACCTCGTGGGAAGAAACCCACTCTGCAGACATATGTGCAATGACTGGGAAAAGCTGGACACAGACTGGGATGACCTGATAGTCAACAATGATGATTAATTTTGTTAACGAGGACAGTAGTTTTATAGTCAGATTTTAAAAAGAAAAAAGTTTCAGAGTTTATCAGGGGTGGGATGGAGGGGCCAGAATAATGTGGAAACCGATCGTGCTAAGTTTTGATAGAAATATCTCTGCGTAAACTCCGTTTAAGAGGAGCCTGGCGGCACAGTGGTAAGGTACAGTTCAGACTCGCCAGCTACTCTACAGGAGAAAGATGTGGCATCTGCTTTTACAATGATTACAGACAGCCTTACAGTCACGAAAGCTCCTGAGACAAAAATAAACCCCTTGAATTGCTAGGTGTGGGGACTAGTGTCTTGGGGGACAGACACTAAGGTTAACTGGCCCAACACAGTCCGCAAAGACAATGTTTTACATCTAAACTTGGTGGGCTGGGCCTAGGGCCTTAAAAGCTCATGAGCAGGCATCTAATGTGCAATTATTGGTCTCTCCTTGACTGGAGCAAAGAAGAATGACGGACACCAAGGACACATGGAAACAATCGGTCCAGTGGACTAATAGGCTATGTGAATACCAGTCTCCATGAGCCCGAGACCAGCAGAACTAGACGGTGCCTGCCTACCACGACCAACTGCTCTGAAAGGGATCACATTTGATGGTCCTGGGGAGAGTGGGGAAAATGTTGAACAGATCATACAAGACACCATGTGTACCTGTAGCCAGAGCCTGTTGAAACCCAAGGCTATGGCCCTTAGATAGCGGAGGTCTGGGACTGATCTCACCTACATGGCTGAATTTCAGCCCAATGATACAGTGTTCTAAAAAGGGAACAATAGCACGGTGAGGTACACACACCTTAAACTAATCAACCCTCTGGAATCACAAGGGCAGCGTTTACCCAAGGACAAAGTTCAGGAGGAGGTATGGAAATAGGAAACACAGAGGGAGGAAGTGAAGTAAGTGATCTTACATTGTGGGGATTGCAATGAATGAGATAAAGCAAAATGTGTAGAAACTGTTCAATGTAAAACTATGATCTACTCTGTAAACAATCACCCAATTCCCCCAAATAAGATACATACAGTGAAATAACAACAATAATACATGATTGATCAAGGATTCACGAGGCTGGGAAGGTGGGGACAAAAAGAGGAGCTGATACCAAGGGCTCAAGTAGGAAGAAAATGTTTTGGAAATGTTGATGGCAACATATGTACAGGTGTGCTTAATATAGTTGAATGATGGATTCCTATAAGATTTGTAAGAGCCCCCCTCAATAAAATGATTAATAATAATAATTTAAAAGATATATACAGTCTTGGAAACTCTATATGGGACAGTTCTCCTCTGTCTTAGAGGGTTGTTATGCGTCAGAAGTGACTTGTCGGCAAAGCACTTTTTTTCCCCCTTTGGTTGAAGTCAAGGTTCACAATAGTGCATGCCTCCCTCTGAACACTCTTCAAAACAAAACAATATACAAACAAGGGTGTTTTCGTAACAACACTCTGGATCTTACCTTGCCAATAAGAGCAGGAATGTTCATTGAATTGGTTGCAAACCCCATGCCGTATGTCATAGCAGCTTCTACTCCCAAGAAACTCGCCACGAGCTTCTCCAGTTCTTCATGTTTGTCCAGGTTTCCTGCGTGACGTTCATAAAATGAACACACAGATCTCAGTCAAGAACTACTCATCACGTTATAAAAGCAACCAGAAACAACACGCTGCAACCTGTGCAGACTAGGACGGAGTGGGTGTGATGAAATGTAAGGCTCACACAGAACCCAGTAGCTGGGACAGAGCCAGACAGTCACCAACAATTTCTCCCACCGCTGTCTGCTGTGCTTTGCCTGCTGTAAAGAAGTAGCTTCCCCTGCCTCTACCTTTGACCTGGGCTGGCTATGGGGCCTGCTTTGACCTATTGGGTGTGGTATCCATGATGCTGAGTCAGTTCTAAGTCGAGGCCCTAAGAGGCCTGGCAACACCAGCTTTCACCCTTCTGAAGTTAGCTGGCACGTAAAGGACTCTTGCTAGTGCTGGGAAAGAGTGGTCAGGAGAGAGGGATGCTCAGCTAACCTATAAGCACTCCTGCCACCAGGTGAGGGGCCAGCCACATGGCTATAGCCATGTCGGCCCTCCATCCTCAGTCACGGGGCCCCAGCAACTAGGAAACATCACAACCCTTCCCATTACAGCATCACAAGCACATTTCTCTCGTCAAGTCACTTTGACTCATAGGGACCTTATAAGAAAGCTTAGAACTTGCTCTTTGGGTTTCCGAGGCTGTAAATCTTTACGGAAACAAAAGCTTCACCTTTCTCCTGTCAAGCAGCTGGGGGTTTTGAACTGCAGACCTTGTGATTAGCAGTACGTCCCAGGGCTCCTTATAGCATTGTATCAATGCTGTGGTCATATCTCACGAGAGTGAGTTTTTGAGATAGTATGGATCAAGCTGGAAGACATTATGCTGCGTAAAATATGTCCATCACAAAAGACAAGAGCGTATGACTTCACTTATATAAAAAGGTAACTCAAGAAGAAAAATAAAAACCACTAAAAGGTCAGAAAAGGTAAGTGCACAAAAGTTTACCAATGGCTACAAAAGGGTAATGAGGGGTTAACGGTGAAGAAAACAATCACATTGATTAAGGGCAGGGTTGCACAGCCCATTGTAATTGTTGTAATAAACTGTACGCCTGTAAAAAGTTGTGTCATGGCTATGTTTACAACAACGATCCAAAATAAAAAGGAGTAGCTCTGAGTCTGCTTATGTACAACCAAACCCCTCTGGGGACTTGGTTCCTTGCTTTGGAGGTCATGGTTTTTGATGAGCCATCTAGTTAACTGACCTAATAACTTGTTTAGTAGTTTTGTTCTACCTTCTAGTTGGCTGTGTGGTCCCTGGGGTTTGCAAGCAGACATCCAAGGCACAGCAATAGGTCTCTATTCACCTGGAGCTACCGAGGCAGGAAAAGGAGGAGGACACAGAAACTGTGGCTAAAGGCCTCCTTTGCCAAGAGACCAGAAGAACTGGAAAGTATCTGGCTACCGTTACTGACTGTTTTGATAAAAAATGACATAGAAGAAATTCTGATCAAAGGGGGGAAATTTCAGAAAAGAGTTGCAAGTGATCAGGAACACCTGACTTTCTGGAGCCATGGAGGATGAACCGCTCAAACTACTGCCCTGAGGTAATTTTTAAAGCTTAACAGCAAAAAAACACAGCAAGCCCAAGGTAGCCTAAACTTACCCATTTCCTGCCGAGTGCTGCACACTCCAACACCGTACTCCTCGAGGACTTCAGTGGCCGCTTCTTGACATGATCCCGTGTTCTGTGCAAACCCAAGATAGTTGTAGGACCCCATGTTTATAACACCTTTGATTATATTCCCTGTGTACCTGTGTTTCAATAGAACGAAAGTTCATTAAATCCATGAGCACATCAGATGAGAGGGGAAATGTACTAGTAACACAGCTGTAGTAGAAAGAACATGATCCACATCAGTGTTTCTCTAAGTGAGCAACACTGCCCCCTGAGGAGTACTGGAATGATACAAGGGGCAGCAAAAGCAGATACCTACACTTACCTTTGGAGCTCTGGTGGTGTGCTGTAGTAGTTACACACTACGCTGCCATCCACATGGTCAGCAGTTCAAAACCACCAATGGTTCTATGGGAGAAAGACTGGGCTTTCCACTCCCATCAACGGATGCAGTCTCGGAAACCCACCAGGGGTCACTACGAGTCAGTACTGACTCGATGGCAGTGAGTTTGGTGCTTGATACTTTATCTTGGATTATGGGTTATATTATAAAAGTTTTTAATTGCCAGGTGGGGAGCTGAGTAATTTTTTTCCTGCAAACGGGGTGGTAGGCCAATTAAGTTCAGGAGCCTATGATGTCCACGTGAAAAGAAGCTCCAACTCTCCACCAACTGGAGAAATGAAAGTTGACACAAAACACCCAATTTCATATTAGTAGATGGCGAACCTGACTCTACGCAGTGTTGGCCAGGATAGTCTATACAGTGTAAACACAATTAATCAGTACAACTCTTAGGGGGAGGGCGGTTTGGTAGAACTGACCCATTAAAAGAGGTATATGCTCTTTTCTTCAGCAACGCTCACTGATGCACAAAGATCTGGGCTTAAGAATGCTTCAAGAGTCACTGCACAATATGCCACGTTCCTTGCCCGGGACCTGAGACCAGTGACATTCTACAAGAGGAGTAAAGCCAGCTGGGACCCTGGAGTGCAGACAACATAGATTACAGGCCCCGCCAGGCTAAGAAGAACATGAAGTATGAACAAGAAATATATCACGAATGTTTGGACTCCATGAGATTCTGGGACTGTTAACACAGCGTAACTAGGTCCAGTCTGCAACACATGGCACAGATATTTATAGTATCAAATACCATGTAGCACTTTCAAGTAATGAGCAGGCTCTGAATATACACGAGAAAGATGTTACCAGTAGATTACAGGTAAAACACACACGCACACAAGTTGTGCAATACTCTATTAAGTTGCTCTTCTTGGGTGCTGCTGCTCTGAGGTTGAATTCACAGCAACCCATCTGGCAATGCAGACGGCCCATCGGGTTCTCTGGGCTGTGATCTTTATGAGAGCAGGTCACCAGGTCTTTTCTTCCTCAGAGCTGCTGGGTGGGCTGAAACCTAGGGCTAACCCCTGCGCTACTGCTATTCCTAACCAATAAGACCTTCTTACACAATCAAAAGCTACCTCAGCATAACCATAATGGGCAGATACGCTACACATACATCCCTCTGAAAACATCTAGAGGGATGACATATAACACAACACACAATAATAAACAACGGTCACCTCCAGGAATAAAGGAAAATTTGTTGGGGAGGGTATTTTGTCCCTGGCGGTGATGTTGGGTAAGCATTGGGCTAATCAAGGTTGGTGGCTCAAACCCACCAGCCACTCATCAGGAGCAAGATGAGACTGTCTGCTCCCAGAGAGACTGACATGGCCTTGGGACCCCTATACAGGGTGGCAATGAGTCAGAATCGACCCTACGGCAGTGGGTTTGCTGCTATATTTTGGAGGAACAGAGGTGCGTTGACAAAGTCAACTTCCATGTTGGATTATGTCTTTAAAATATATTTTAATAGTGATTTATTAATTAATGATGATTGAATAATTTAAAAATACTTTTAATAATTAACAAGAAAAATATTTCTAATAATATAATAAGCATTCTAAACCATCTAATCATTTAAGTGAAAACACTCCATATGTCCTTGAATCTAATCAAAATTATCTAGAAATAAAGTCAAACACTTGATTTTGGTAAGTGGCATTAATAGAAAGGAGAGTTTTTCTTTAACAAGTCAAATTTTTGTCCTTTTCAACTCGAATCCAACATGCTATCAAATGTGATAGAGAAATAGATTTTAAAAGTTGCCACAATGATGGACAATATGCTGAAGCTCTTCATGGTATGGTGCTCTCTCAGCTGTGATGGGCTTGGAGAGAGTAATCCCACTGCGACCAACTATTTCCTCAAAGGAAAACCATTCCCTGTCCTCAGAAAGGCTTTGCCCAGCCTCACCTGAAGGACCAGTTGTAGTCCTGAGACTGTCGCTCCATGATGTCCACTCTGGCCCCAGGCACGCTACAGATGGGCCGGTTCCAGTTGTCTCTGATCCTCATGTAGAGGTTCCTGGTATAGAAGTTTTCGAAGTCCTGATACAATGACACAAAGTCCTGCCAACAAACGACGAATGCCATACATTTAACTGAGTTACTTTAAAAATAAAACCAAAACACCCCGACAACTTCCCTTTTCATATTGCAAAGAACATCTGAGAAGGAGAGGTCAATTGCAATTACTGATGTTATATGGTAAATCTGCTGCACACAGCTTCTTTAGAGTGTTGAAAAGCAAGGGTGCTACTTTGAGGACTATGGAGTCCCTGCCCCAGGCCATGGTATTTTCAATGGCCTAAGATGCGTGTAAAGGTTGGATACTGAATAAAGAATGCCAAAGAATGGATGCTTGTGAATGGTGGTGGCGAAGAACAGTGAGAGTGCCACAGGCTGTCAGAAGAACAAACAGGTACATCTTGGAAGAAGTACAGACACAAGGCTCCTTAGAGGCAAAGATGGCAAGATTCTGTCCTAAGTACTGTGGACATGTCACAGAGACCAGTCCCTGGACAAGGACATGTTTGGTAGAGGCGCAGCAAGAGAGGAGGCCCTCAACAAGATGGAATGACACAGCGGCTACGACAATGGGTTCAAGTATAAGACAATTATGAGGACGGTGCAAGACCAGGTAGCAGAGTTTTCGTTATGTTGGACAGAGGGTCACTATGAGTCGGAACCAAGTAGAAGGCACCTAACAACAACCGATGAGCACATATTTGGGAAGGTATCAGTGTTCTGATTTCTCATTTGTTTATCACTTATTTTAAAGCAACTCAAGTCTGGCAAAAGCCATCTAGCTTTGCAGGTTGGCCTATACTGGCTGGTTTCACAGAACCACCTGACTGCATGAATACACTGTCAAAGACATCAACTTACACAGGCCGGGGGGTTATAAAGAGAGAGCTCTGTGGTACAATTAACCCTTACGTGGGTTCCCCTTTTAGTAACCTCACAAAGACTACACCCATAATTTATTTGGGGAAACTGCGGTTTAAAACCAGGAAAAAATTTCCAAAATTAGATTCCTATCCTCTACAGATTTTCAAGGGTCAAAACAAAACAAATCCAAAGAAAAATGATACACCAGAAACACTAGAAAGGGGATTACAGGAAGCTGCCTCCCCAGGGTCTTTCCCTCCTGTCCAGGGACATAAAGTCCCCCTGTCCCTGCCTCAAATGAAATTACATTACGATTTAAGTCAGTAAGATCACTTTATATAGAGTTGAAATGAATGCCCACCCCACATGGACGACCTTGTGGCTAGAGAACATATGACCAGTGAACATGAGATTACGTCTGCTCTTGAAGGGAAGAGAAAATAAAGGAATTTGTACCATAGCTCTAACCCAAGGTCAGCCATTCAAAATCACCAGCTGCTCCGGGGGAGAAAGATGAGACTTTCTAATTCAGTAAAGAGTTAGTCTCAAGAACCCACAGGGGCGGCTCTGCTGTCTACGGGACTGCCAGGAGTCAGCATTGCCTCAATGATCGAGAGTTTGGTTGGTTGGTTTGTTTTTGGGTTCTACTACAGTCAACAAACTGCTGAGTTTCCGGGCCTCAGATGTAGGCTAGCTATCAATCTACAATTAACCTGTTAAATAAGCTAAACAAAGCCTTCAAGCTTAAAATGCTATCTTATAAGATGACTTTCATTTCTAAAGAAGACTTCGTTATAACTTTTAAATTGATAACCTTCAATGCCATTGAACTCTGACGTGACTATTAAATAAAGCTCACCAGAAATCAAACCTCCTTAAATAAAGCCAGGCTGGGCCAGAAAGCACGTCAACTGCAGCAGCTGATACATCTCTTTTTCAAGGGCGCGGACTGTTTACACTCCCTCGGGACAGGAAATGGAGTCCTGATGCTCTAAAGGTGAAGTCCAAACCCACTCACAGGTGCCTCAGGAGGCAATTCTAGTGGCCTGCTTCTGCAAAGTCACAGGCTGAAAACCCTGTGGAGTCGTTCTATCTGCATCACATGGGGTTGGGGGGACCATGAGTTAGGGTACACCGACAACAACCAGATCCTAGTGAGAGAAAACGTCCACAGATTAATGTCAGTCACACTTGGAAATGTATCCTTTAAATTGTAAGGGAAGACAGAAATGTTCTAGTTAAAGGCTTTCTTTTGCTAAATAGGATTCACCATGCATTTATTCCCCAAAGGAAAACACAAAGAGTAGTCTCAATCCTCTTCGAGGAGTCTTGTTGGCAGTGTTTAGAGGGCTCGGCTGTGAACCAAACGGTTGGTGGTTCGAACCCACCAGCCGCTCTACAAGAGAAAGATGTGGCAGTTGACTTTCATCAAGATTTAAAGCTTTGGAAGTCCCAGGAGGTGGCTGTACTCTGCCCTAGTGTGGCTATGTGTTGGAATCAACTCCATAGCAGTGGCTTGGTTTGAAACCTCTTCAATTTACATTTACCAACCCACAGTATTGATAATCTCATTTTCTTATCTTTCTAAATATGACACACTAATATTTAGGGTATTAAATATTCCCTCATAGACAGATTTTTAAAATATTTTTATTGGGAGCTCGTATAGATATCATAACATTTCATGGACACTTTTTTTAAAGGGTGAAATTCTTCTTTTTCTTTTCAAGTGATACTTAATTCACGTATCACACAATTCAAAAGTTCAATAACAACAAGAAGAATTGTGCAATCATTACTGCAATCAATTTCAGAACATTTTTCTCTTTTCCCCTCATGATCAAATCGCCTTTAAAATGAGTTGTGTAATCACCTCGGTTCTAGTGCTCATTCCTCCTCCCACCTTCATCGTCCACTCCCCACACCCCCTCACCCTTTCCATCTCCAACACCCCCCAACCCTACATCCCCCACAAACTCTTACATCAATTATCTCTACGCACCCACTCCTGTGCTTCAACAGAAACCATGAAGAACAAAAACGAACAATGAGTAAGAGAAAAAGACCACCACTAATATCTAAAAAGCCAGGGGAGAAGTTTTTGTTGTGGAAACAGCCTCACCATCATTGTAATCCTGGTCAGCTGACCTCCCTCTAGACTGGACCTGAATTTGTTCTAGGTGCAAGGATCTCTGGCTTGTTTCACAGACACATTTTTAATAGAAACCAAGAGCCATGTGTTTTGTTTTTGCTACATGCACATCAGAAAAAGCGTGTAGAGTCTGGTCTTATCTACCAGAAGGGTCATGAACTTCAAGAAATGGTGAGAGAGATGAACTTTTAGCCAACATCTCCCCTTCCCTTGACTTGTTAGCTAATGCTCCGGGTAGTGGCTTGCACTGCACTGACAAGATTCATTGAACAAATCTGAAGGGCAGCTAAGAGCACTTCCTACAGTTTAGTAATGAAGCAAGAAGGGAAGTGGCGGCACACTAGCAGGGCTTCCAGTTCCAGATGATGAGTGTGTCTATTTCCAAAACTAGCTCCTATTTTCTCAATATTTTAGGACTGGGGTTAAAGAGAGAGCTTCTTTTCTTTTCATTCATTGCAAGATCTTTTCATTGAACACTCCTTGTATGCTGGCTCCTTTGTTAGTCTCAGGATACACCAAAGAAAAAGTCTCTGCCAACACTGACCATCTCACCCTCGGCCCAGCCCACCCCTGTCCAGCCCTCTCCCTGGCCCTCTGCTTCCTCCCCTCAGTTTAGTCACTGGAGAATGACTTCAGACAGGGCAAGCTAATGCTCACTGCTCAGTCACTGAATAAACCTTTGCTGAGCAGTATCTTCCAGGGACTCAGGTACCCCTCCAGACACGGGGATGAAAATGAGGAAGCGCCCGGCTCTGCAAGACCAGGGGCTGTCCGTGCAGTGGAGTGCGATGCACGCAGCAGCTGCCCTTGCCCAGTTAGGCAGCTAGCTTGGGGCAGAGCCGGAAGCAGTCCACATTTCCTAAGCCCACAGTCTCACTATGCGATGCTGCCACGTCACTCGGAAACAACCTCCATTCCACTCAGAGCACCCGATGACTGCTGTGCTCCTACTGGCCTTTGTCCATCCATCTGTCCTTTCTTCCTTTCCTTCCAGCACAGGTCTCTCACAAACACACACACACACACACACACACACACACACACACACACACACACACCATTTGGAGAGCTAAAAACTTTATTTCTAAGACAACCCTATCGGAGAGTAAGCTGTGAGACAGATTCTACTAGGGAGAAGCACACATCCTAGACTTGAAAGGCAGAGGCCATCTTTCTAGCACCAGTGTAGGCGCCCTGGTGGTACAGAGGTAGAGCTGCTATCTGCAAGGTCAGTAGTTCTAAACCACCAGCTTCCCCCCTCAGGAGAAAGAGGAGGCTGCTTTCTACTCCCATAAAGAACGAATAGCCTTGGAAACCCACAGGGGCATTTTGATGCTGCCCTATAGGGTCACCAGGAGTCAGAACTGACTTGGTAGCCATGAGCTTGGTGGAAGCAAGTGGTGGCTGACCTTCACACTGACAACATCTGCTCAGCTCCATGTTGCTCAGTCTCTGGTGGAGCTACCAGGTGGGGAGGTGAACGAGCCTGCAGTATTCAAGGCTAGGGTAGTATCCTAACTTGCGGTGATGGCTCAGGTGGGGGTTGGAGGCTCCAACTTCACTGCTCCAGCATCTACAGTTTTATAAGTGCCTACTCCCCTGGGTTTTCTGGAATGTCCCAGCATGAGCTCAGTCTACCCCACTGAGACACAGGTGTTTCAGAGGCACATGCCGTGTCTTTACTGATGAGAAAGCCATATTTAGTAAGTCATCCCCACTGTTGTCCAAGTTCAAAGAAGTAGGCACATGAGGATTCAGGAAAAGAACTGAAACTGTGATGCCAGTGCTACTCCAAAGTGCCTCCTCCCACTATTCCAGTAAGAACGCTTACTGCAAATCTTACTTGAGTAGCTCCTACTCCAGTCTGTGTCTCAACAGAGCAGAGATCATCCCGCCCCAGCCTGAGTACAATCGCTGTTTGATGTCAGGGTCAAAAGCTTGGAAACCCTTGCGCACAGATGTCTCGGTGCCTGGTAAACATCAGAATGATGGATGGCCCCACCCTGGCTCAGGTTCTCCAAGCTCA